AGCTGATGTTGGCCTGTGCTGTTACGGGACCTTGTCCTGCCAGCTCGAGCTGATGTTGGCCTGTGCTGTTACGGGACCTTGTCCTGCCAGCTCGAGCTGATGTTGGCCTGTGCTGTTACGGGACCTTGTCCTGCCAGCTCGCGCTGATGTTGGCCTGTGCTGTTACGGGACCTTGTCCTGCCAGCTCGAGCTGATGTTGGCCTGTGCTGTTACGGGACCTTGTCCTGCCAGCTCCAGCTGATGTTGGCCTGTGCTGTTACGGGACCTTGTCCTGCCAGCTCCAGCTGATGTTGGCCTGTGCTGTTACGGGACCTTGTCCTGCCAGCTCGCGCTGATGTTGGCCTGTGCTGTTACGGGACCTTGTCCTGCCAGCTCCAGCTGATGTTGGCCTGTGCTGTTACGGGACCTTGTCCTGCCAGCTCGAGCTGATGTTGGCCTGTGCTGTTACGGGACCTTGTCCTGCCAGCTCGAGCTGATGTTGGGGACACGACAATGCCCTGGAACAGGACGGTCGACGAGCTGATGTTGGCCTGTGCTGTTACGGGACCTTGTCCTGCCAGCTCGAGCTGATGTTGGCCTGTGCTGTTACGGGACCTTGTCCTGCCAGCTAATGTTGGGGATTTTTCTGAGGCCTTACGTGTGAACTTGATTCAACGACCATCTTTCCCATAGCGGTCACAGACCATCCACTTTTCATGCATCTTTGGGTTGACGGTGCGCATCTTAGTCCATACATTCTATGATTCTTAGATATCTTTTCTGTAGGGTGCACTGGCTCTTGCAATTCGAAGATTCTTCTCATCATCGAATCTTTGTACAAAACAAGCAAATATATGTTGTGTTGTTTCCTAAGTAAACATTTCAGGGGCGTGGAACAAGAATGAGTGTACTTTTTAGGATCCCAATAACTAAAAAAAAAAATTATGTTTAAGTCGTCGAAATTTGTATTGAGACCCTCCTTTAAAAATAAGGAAATTTCCGAAAATACATTAAGGCTGTAAACTAACAATGGTTTTGTTGGGTGTAAACATATCATGAGGATATCTATATAATTTAAATCCTTCCTTTATATTAAGTTCGCTTTTGTTCCTGTATTACAATCTGGGGGTCTGGCGAAATCCTTGGAAGGCTAGTTTACCCACTAACCGTCAAACTATCGAGCTGGTACGTGACATTTAGATGTCATTTGTGTAGTTTACTTTAGTTAAACTGAAGAAGTAAGTCTACAAACATATAGTCCATTCAATTATCTTTCATTTGATACCTCCTTTTGTCTTACAAACCCAACAATAATATTTTAAATAGTTTTTTAATCCCAACATCTCACTTCTGATACCTGAGTGCGAATAGCCACTTCGTTATAAAAAATAAATATCTGGTTGCGAGCTTTGTTGGGGCTAATTTAATTTTTAAAAGTGCGTTACTTGAATTGATTTTTTTTTTTTCAATTTTTCAGGCGCCCCTCCCCCCCCCACCCTTTCCCATTGCTCTCTAATACATTTTATAAACTATTTATTTATACGAAAACTTTGTATCTTAGCGGTTGTTGAATTAAAGTTGTTGGAAACATGAAAAAAAAATATGGTTTTTAAATTTTTTTTTTTCTTTTCTTTCAATGTCCATTTTCCGTAGAAGGAAAAAAAAAGGTCACTTCAGCGTTATGAACATAAGTAAAAAAGAATTAGGGGTGTATTTTGGGGGGGGGGGGGGGGTGTTTTG